TCAGCACGTCCTCATCCTTTTGCTTTGCATATTTACAGTTTCCAGACTGAGCTTATGCTCTACAAAAAGCCGGTTCCTTTCTCTCATGATTGTTCCTTTATTTTACAGATCGTAAGATACTACAGAAGGAGCCCTAGTGGTGGTGCAGTGGTTACGGGTCAGGCTGTGATCCGTATGGTCAGCAGTTCAAAACCACCAGCAGCCCCATGGGAGAAAGACTGGGCTTTCTACTCCCATAATAGTTACAATCTCAGAAACCAGCAGGGGATCGCTGAGTCAGCGCTGACTTGATGGCAGGGAGTTCGGTTTGGTTTGGAAGATGATCCATACTCATTATGTCTAGAATTAGACACCAAAAGAGGATAAAGGAATAAAAACAGTAACTTATCCCAAAATTCAATCACTAGGACCAAACATTGATATGATATTGGTAAACTATAGACTAAAAAGCCTATAATATAGATTAGATGTGTGTACAGATGGATATAGTTGAGGTCATCATGTATATAAATTTTGGATGTTTAAAAATTTAAGATAAACATTGAAGATTTTTGTTAGCATTATTTCTATAATGTTTGTAATATTTCACATTATCAATATTCCTTAAATATTGGGCACTGAGATTTCCAATGTTGTGCTAATATCTATCTTGTGACTCTGAACATCTATTTTTACATAAGTTTCATCCACATTCCAGGAAAATTTGCTAGAAAAGGAAAACAAATAAAATTATCTTACACTAGGATAAGAAAAAAAAATTCTCACAAAACACTGTTCTCTGAAACTGGGAACTTTCATCAATATGATTGTGACCGAGGCAAAACCTAAACTAAGTTTTCACTCTGATGTTAGAGGGTTTCAAGGATGGGGAGAAGTGACATTCAGTTCCCAAAGACAAGTTCTGTTCTCTTAATACCTGTGATTGGCAAGATACATTGAAAAGAAAGGATGGGACTTTGAGGACTAAGGTATGCCGGCCCCAAGCCATGGTACTTTCAGTCACCTCATATGCACGTGAAATTGAATAAGGACACAGAAGAATTGATGCATTTGAATGTGGTGCTGACCAAGAGCATTAAAAGCACCATGGACTATTGGAAAAACATACAAATCTGTCTTAGAGGGACGGATGGTGAGACTCACATACTTGGACATGTGGTCAGGAGAGACCAGTGCCTGGAGAGGGAACTCATGCTTCCAGTGGAGGGGCAGCAACAAGAGGAAGGCCCTCTGCACGATGAACGGGCAGAGTGATTGATAAGAACCCTGGTGAGGATGGTGCGGGATGGCTCTGTTGTACACGGGGCTGTTAGAGGGGGACCAAAGGGATGGCACCTGACAACCAGAAAAAATATCCAGAACCTGTGAAATGCTACCTAACGTGACACTCTGCCACCTTACAGGGACCTTGCAGATGCTGTTAAATTCGAGGATATTGGAATGGGAAGATGATCCTGCATTATCTGCGTGGGCCCCAATCTAAGGGAAACAGTAGACTCAAAAGAGGAGATGTGATGAAGAAACTGGAGGTCAGATTTAAAAGCTGCTGGCTTTGAAGATGGAGGAGGGGGCCATTAGCCAAGGAATGCAGGCAGCCTCTAGAACAGGGTTGTAGAACCCTTTTTTTCAACCCAGGGCCATTTGAATATCTATGACATCATTCTCAGGCCAGACTGGTCAAACATTTCATGAACTCAACCCTGACGTAATGGCTGAGACTGCTTTTCTTCGGTGAGACCTGTGATCTTAGCTGGTATTGACTATTTCAAAGACTTTACCCAGCCCACGATCCTGCTCTAGAAGCTA